TATTCTCTCATATAATATATATATATATATATATATATATATGTTTTTTTAAAAAGATATAAGGGTAAAATTTAAAATAAAAAAAATGAAGATGAAAAATCGATTGTATGTGGCACTTTCCAACCGAACTAGAGTCTACCTCCATTTGACACGTGTACCAATTTTCTCTCTCCCTATCATAGTATCTCATTGAAGAGAGGAAGTTGGAGCGCGCAACACAACACAACACAACACCGCATCGCATCGCACCAAACTCTCTCATTCCCCCTTCCACAACCCCAAACTGAGGCCACGAAACACAACAAAAACAAAACCATTTGCATTTGGTACGCACGCACTCTCTCAATACCAGGTTTCTTTGCTTCAGCCCAACCCATCTCTGTGGCTATAATCATTTTTGTTTTTTTTTTATTTTTCTTTCTTCGCTTTCCTTGCTCCACGCTCCACCGCACCTTCTAACCGTACTTCCTTTCTCTATTCTCTCTGCTCGTGCACGCACGCACGCACGCACCCTTTTGCCTCACGTGCTTCTTCTTTTCCGCATGTTCATGCAGCTCCTACTTCATTGCTGATTCAACAAACTTTCATCTCTTCTTCGTCATGACAGCTTCTGTTGCTAATTCCTTCATAACCGTTAACCCTGATGAGCTTCGCTTCCAATGTATGTTTTTCACTTTTTCCCTCTTCTATTTTATTTTCCCATGCAACTAATCATTTTTAAATATACAAACACAATTAATGGCTTGCTTCGCCCTCATCTCTGTCAAGGTTGACAACCAAATTGCCTACATGATTTACATTTTTTATATCGGATCAATGTTGTTAACCTTTTTTTTTTTTTTTTTTTTTCCCTTTTCATGAATGCTATTTCGGAAAATTTAAATTTTGTGAGAGTTATATACAACCAAGGTTGTTTGTAGAAATTAATTACAATTTAGGTACGATAGATTAAGTCAACCAATAATTGTATGTATAAGTAAACGATGGATTTCATTGAATTAATTAGCTATCAAAATTTTGGGAATAAAGGTACGAATTTTGTAGCATGTTATTTCATATAATGTTTCCACAATTTCATGTATGATTAGTTAATCATCCATTGTAAAGTTTTTTTACACCGACAACTAATCATATCTTTTAAAGTTGTTTATTTTATTATTATTTCACTAAATAAGCAACTGACATGACACTATTAAAAAAATATGATTGGTTGCCAGTGTAAAAAAACTTTACTCTGACAGTATATAGGTGATTAACTCATTGTTAATTATTGATACTTGTATAGATTTTGAGCTCTTGAATTTTGAACCAAAAACGAGGATTTTGAAGTGATTAAATAGTAACAAAAGGACATAATAAGCATGGTTATATGTGACAGAAATTTGAACAGTAAACCTAGAGTAAATAAAAAGTTCAAGGTTGAATAGGTAATTCTGCTGGCAATATCAAGGTTCCTATTCCACTTAAAAATTTGTTTGGTTTTGTGCATTTATATTTGACTATTCTCATAGAATAAGGTGCACTTCTCCCTAATACAACATTTTGGTAGATCAAATAGAAAAGCATAATTCTTTAATATGGTGAAAGATGTTTCGAAGTACGAGGGCTATATATATAAAGTTCTGTTAGTGTTAGTAAAGCAGAAAATTGAATTCCTTCCCCCAATTAATTTTGAGTTCTTGTTCAGTTATGCTCATAATGTTCATGTAAACAGTTGAGCTGGAGAAGCAAACATATTGCGATCTTAAAGTTTTGAATAACACAGAGAACTACGTTGCCTTTAAGGTATTCTATTAACTTTCCATACAGGGACAAACTTATTGTTTCTGGACATGCTTTTCTCATGACGATTCGAAGTGCATGATTACATTTGATTTCAGTGCTATTTTGCTTTTTGCTAGGTCAAAACTACTTCGCCAAAGAAGTACTTTGTACGACCTAATACCGGTGTTATACATCCATGGGACTCATGTATCATCAGAGGTGCTTCTTCTTACTATTGCAGAAAAAAAAAATTAGTTACTCATATATTTATTAACTTGGATCAGATCTTTGATAATTTGAAATGTTACACTAAAAGGTACCAAAAGGGCCTCTGTATTCCTTTAAGAGATATAAAACAAATAATTAATGCCCATCTAGTTGACATTAATTGGAAAATGTTGTTTCACATTAGAAATGAGTAGAAAGAAAAGGAAAAACGGGAAATTAGTTAAACTTGTGAGCTTACTCTTAGATCTATGATGAGTGAAGACTGGTAACTTCAACTAATCAATGAACACAAAAATGAAATTTTTCTTCCACATAATTAAGAACTAGGAAAAATATATTGCTAAGTGGAAAATCAATCATATGTATATATGTGGTATTAGCATCTCTATCATATTCTTCTATTTGTATTGTGCAGTCACCCTCCAGGCCCAACAAGAATACCCTCCAAACATGCAATGCAAAGACAAGTTTCTATTACAGAGTACAGTAGTGGCTCCAAACACAGATGTTGATGATCTTCCGCCAGATACTGTGAGAGAGGCAACACTGTCTTTGTTTTATAGGATCATTTCTTTAATTTAAAAAGGAAAAACAAATTGATGAAGTACATTTCTTTTTTTGGCTTGCAGTTTAGTAAGGGCGAAAAGTCGATTGAGGATTTGAAACTAAGAGTGCTATATATCTCTCCTTCATCACCCCATGGAAGCATAGAAGATGATCCAGATTCTGTGAGTTTCCCCCATTCTCTCTCCATTTGGGGAAATCAGTTTGAAGTTTTATTTTTAAGCTTCCTCTCAAATTTGGTACTTTTGTGTCTGAAGTCTAGAATCTAGACATATGTTGCATATTATGTATCAAGATGGAATCCGCATCTCCACATCTATGTGTGGTCCCATTTCAATTTGCAAACAAACTTCAAATATTGGTAACAGATTATTTAGGCCTAACAAAATAAAATTAAGGGGTTTCTTTGGATCTTGGCATAATGGATAAAGAAAGAGTG